ATCGCTTATAGGTCGTGCAAAAACAGTTTTTTTCATATGTTCTGAATAATGTACAGGGTGGCCAACTAAGACTCCAGAGTTCGATTTCTCTGTTGTCTTGAGAGATACAGAAAAAATTCATGAATCAAAATTGAAGTAATAACCGAGCTTCACATTTCAAAATTTCTTTGAAATACACAGGGTATTCCGTAAGGTCACAGCACATCAAAGCTATGTTTTTTTCATTGGAACACCCTATATTTAATTTCATTCTTGAATTCTCCCTGAAGATTTGATTTCAACGATCCATCATACTTAGGGTCTAGCAGTGAAAGTTACTGACATATAGGGTGTGCAAAATCGAGATTTTCCAAGTTCAGATTTTTTTTCTGTCGGAACCGAGGTCGGAACTGTTCATTATTCGTCAAAACGGTTTACATGTCCCTATCTCAACTTTTCACTCACTATCAATTGGTGTTCAATTGAAATTGATACAAGGTGGTCAAAAAATCTAAATTTATAATTTGTTTCAATTAAATGTCAATTGAACACCAATTGATAGTGAGTGAAAAGTTGGGATAGGGACATGTAAACCGTTTTGACGAATAATGAACAGTTTCGACAGAAAAAAATCCTAAACTTGGAAAATCTCGATTTTGCACAGCCTATATGTCGGTAACTTTCACTGCTAGACCTTAAGTATGATAGGTCGTTGAAATCAGATCGTCAGGGAGAATTCAAAAACGAAATAAAATATAGGGTGTTCCAATGAAAACATAGCTTTGATGTGCTGTGACCTTACGGAACACCCTGTGTATTTCAAAGAAATTTTGAAATATGAAGCTCGATTATCACTTCAATTTGAATGCGAAACATTTTTTTGTATCTCTCAAGACAACAGAGGTATCCAACTCTGGATTCTTAGTGGGCCACCCTGTACCTTATTTATTGTGACTTGCCCCCGAGATTATTTCTGCGGACGCCCCTGTGTGCAACTGATGATGTGAATGTGAATTTACAAAATTTTGATTCCTAACTATATTGTCCATCTCCTCTACTTCCAAACAAATTAAAATCTATACTAATATTATAAAGACTAAAAAGAGAAGAGATGTGTAAAAGAACAACGGGTAGTAATAATATTATCCTTCGGTATCTTTTTCACATACCTAACTTCTAAACGGTTGAACCGATTGATCTTTGATAAAGTTTATGTTTATTTTGTTAATTAGGAATTTTGGCAGTGAAAAAAGTCAACAATTACGCATCAATAGGGATGCAGAATAGTTATTTTTGTATCTATATACAGGGTAACATAGAAAAAAGTACATTGCATAGACACAATAGAGGATACTAAAATAAGAAAAAAAGTTCCTATGAACATGGGTCCGCAAGGCCTTCGGTTAAAAGATACGGGGTGTTGAATTTAATTTTATTTTTGTTTTCTTTGAATATCTTTAGCCAGAGACACAAGAAATGGATGAAATGTGGTATACAGGGGTTTTTTATCGTACACTGTATGTCATTTTCAACAGAAAAAATTTGTTATCCCTTCTTCTATTCTTAAGAGAGGTATACCTTATCCAAGTCACCAGATGCAATGGTTCCAGTACAAATACATCTAAAAGCCGACAATGCACGCAAATTATTCAAAAAGCGACAAAGTAACTTTTGCAAAAACGATGATGAATACTTCAACAATTACATTTTAATGGTATGATGAAAAATATGATTAATTAGAACAAAACATTAAGTTTTTAGAAGATGTTCAAATTGTTGCCCTTGTACTTCAATACATTTTTCCATTAAAATTCAACACCCCGTATCTTTTAACCGAAGGCCTCGCGGACCCATGTTCATATAGGAACTTTTTCCTCATTTTAGTGTCCTCTATTGTATGGCATTATGCAATGTACTTTTTTCTATGTCACCCTGTATATAGTGCGCGAAATGATACTTTGGTGATCGATAATTGATTTTTTAACGAGGCGCAAGTATTTCGCGCACTAGTTACAAACAAAATTTTTTCTACAAACTTCAAAAAATAGTGTTGAACTGGCTTAAAAGGCCCGAGAGATAAAAAAAATTATTGTCAACGTTCAGAAATAAATTATTTCTATAGGATGTTTGCTCGATTGAGGGCCATATATTTAGTTAAAATACAAAAATCTCATATATTTTACATACAATGCGGGGGTGTATGTACTTCGCGCATCGTTTTACTTCGCGCACTGCTTCGCACATGGTGTCGTGGTAACGTAGGGAACTGAAGAAAAGTTTCACTTCGCAATTTGTAACCAATATGCGAACCCTGTGATTTTCTGACTGGCGTAGAAAAACACGAATTTCACAATGAAAATGTGAACAAACCACTATTTATCGAAATATTTACGAAAAAGTTCGAAACATCACCTTCTTCTGCCACCATCTTGGATATTCATTTACAACTAGGTACGAATGAGGTAAACAATAGTTTCGTTTCTTGAAAATTCTTTTGATATTTGACCAACTTGACATCTCGTAATTGGATGGCCGTCAGCCGGTGTCCTGGTGTGATTGTTTACCTTATACAAAAATATGAAAAAATACCGAGGTTGATTTTAGGAAATGAAATGTGTTATTGAAGTACAACTTGAGTATAAACTGTCCAGTGATGGTAAAAGATGCACAAGTATGTACCTAGTTGCAGGGTTGGACTTGGAATAAGTCATGACTTTTATAAAAAAAGTCAAAAAAGTACGATTTTTTGAATTAATTCGGACTTGAATTAATTCATTTGAGAACAAATCAAATTATATTTACTTGAACAAAATACAAGAACACCGAAAAAATCCAAGTTTTTCTTTCTGTTAAAAATCTCAAAGCATAACAATGAAATACTTAAAATATGCAATTTTTGCAATACAAATTGAGACTATTGATTGAATGAAAAATGATGTTTATGCAACTTATATTACTCATTCGCAATCTCCATTATAAAGGCGCTTTACAGTTATTTAAAAAAAAATTCAGCTATTCCCATGGCGCGACTACGGATTAGTGATTAGTATCACACTTTGGTATCACCTTGTGAAGCAATTTTTCGTTGCATTGCACGAAATGAGTCCGGTAATTTGTATTACTGGTGCAATTCTAATGGTGACATGTTAGATTTTCGGAATTTCATGCATTATTAGATGCACATTGGATTTTACTTTTCTTGCCTTTCTCATGGTTTCTTCCACCCAACTCAAAACTCGGTGAGAAGTAATACACAGAATCTATGACAAAAAAACATTGCAAGCCGGTAATTCCGATTCAGTGTTGAATAGCCTCCTCGATAGCCTCCATATCATTTTTGCCGGAAATATGAATTGGAGCAATCAATTGCATGCAACGAAATATTGTAAACTGATGTAAAACGGCTCTTATAGAGAATCGAGTTTTCTGCGTGCGGGTGCATCCCGGCTGTCAGTTGTCAGATGCCATCGGTTATTCAATTTTAAACTAGTTCAAATTGAAGGTAATAATGAGATTTGATCCCATTTGATAAATATTGAATTAATTCACGACTTATTTGAAAAAAGTAAAGGGGTTTGTTCACATTTTCATTGTGAAATTCGTGTTTTTCAGAGGAAAATTACGATGGCCTGGAAGGGACACGTAAAATTAAAAAATATCAACTCTTCAAAATTCTGAGTTATAACTCGGAATTTTAAAATTCCGACTTATATCTCGGAATTTTAAATCCAAAATTCCGACTTATAACTCGGAATTTCAAAATTCCGAGTTATAACTCGGAATTTTACATCAAAATTCCGACTTATATCTCGGAATTTTAAATATTCCGAGTTATAACACGAAAATTTAAAATTCCGAGATATAAGTCGGAATTTTGATGTAAAATTCAGAGTTATAACTCGGAATTTTGATTTTTATTTTATGTGTCCCTTCCAGGCCTTCGTAGAAAATATCTAAGTACCAAAAAACATTTTCGAAAAAAAACCCATCGCATGATAAGTGCACTTTAACCAAATATCATTTTCGTCTAATGGTATGTAAAAGCAAAGTTTACAGAATTAAAAATATTGGTAAAAGTTTTCTATCAACATGCACACCTTGAATATATGTATATACGAGCTTGAATGAAATAATATGCTTTGATTACAGAATTGAAAAATCCTAATAATATATTGGGTACGATACGAAGAAACAATGATATAATTTTTCGGCAACCGTCCGGAAGTGCTCATTTGCCGGACCCTTTTTTTTTGAGAAGTATCACATCGCTGTTGTCACTGTAACTATGAAAAATCTTGGTAGATATGGATAATTACCATAGCAGCGAAATATCGGTTGACAGCTATATATTTGACATGACATTAGTTGACATTTTGATTTCTGAAAGTTTGGTTGCAATTATCGCAATAAACGCAATTTCCATACGAAATTTCTAATATATAACAATTAGTAGGTATAGGTTTTCTGTTAAAATTTCAGTATTTGATACAAATGAGAATTAATAAAGAAGAAATTGATTTCAACAAAGGAATATAGGCTCGAATATAGGTAATATGGAAATGTGTCTCATTGATTTGTTATTCTACAAGGTTGTCGAAAAAATAGTAAACGCAACACGTCCAAAAACAGTTTTTTTTTGGCTACGGCTCGGCCGAGAAAAAACAGTATTTCCAGGACTTGTTATATGTAAATCACTATTTTGAAAACTGGTATAGTGTGTATGGTTTTTGCAGAATTTCATAAAATGTACCTATAAAACTTAGTGGAATCCAAGGTGAAATCAATGGAAACATTCAAACCAAGAATTTCTCAACTTGATAACATAACCACCGATACAAAAGGAATTTTGGTAATTGACCATCAGATTATCACAATTCACAAATTCCTGGCAAACCAGAAAACATGCTTGAACGGCAGACAGAAAAACACCGGCAAAAAGTGTTTCCCTTTATAGAAGCACAAAAACAAAGAAAGACAACGGATCGTAGCCACACTATGGGTAAAATTGCAATTTCTCTCACCTTCTGATCAACGAAACTCGCGATTAAATGTCCGTATCTTTGGATCCTCACGCAGGAATTCTTCTCAGTTTCGATTACCAGCACGTATTCGCGAATTCTTTCGAGAGTTCAAGCACTTTTGCACGACCGGCAAGTTCGCTGTTCGATAAACAGTCGACAGTCTGCCTGTTTCGCTTCCGGTTTATCGCGCACTCTCGATTCTGTAAGATGCGGTTCTGCGCTGCGCTTTGCGGTCCTCCAACACAAGAAGGCCATGAATTGAACTCCCAGTCGGTTCCGGAGTTTTATACCAAAGCGGCGTTGCCGATCATTTCTATTTGTACTTGATAATCACGAAAGTATCGGCCATCGAATGATTCATTTCAGTGAATGCGAGAAAATAATGTGGTAAAACTGCATTCATCATGCGATGGGGTTTTTTTCGAAATTTTTTTCTGGTACTCACGTATTTTTGTCTGAAAAACACGAATTTGATAATTAAAATGTGAACAAACCACTATTTCTCGAGATATTTCGAGAAAAAGTTTGAAATTTCGCCTTCTTTCTCCCCTTGTGTTGGATGCATTTACCATTTACAGCTACTTGCTCTTCTTATTTTGTCATTGGACACTTTATATACTCATGATGTACATCTATGACATATTTTTATATAGAAAATTCAACAGGAAATATGATTTTTATGGCGAGTTTTTCATATTTAATGAACAAGCACACCAGATGACGGCAATCATTAAATCAATAGTCAATCCAAATACGAGATGTCACATATCAATAGATTGCTTTGGAATGACATTACACACGCCGTTATTTTGAATGATATTCGCGAGATTCACGAAGTGGGCGACATCTAGGTTACATGATAAGAACTTCAAACTGGGGGAAAACAAACTGTTGTCTATAGATAAAGTGCATAGACTACATTGCATTCAGCTTGCTGTAGCTGTAGCTGTAGTCAAACTTGTCAATGACATAAAGTGTTGGCACTGTTTGATCGTCATGATGGTTGAGTTGGTTAAATTATTTACATTAGTACATTTTTATCAGTTCAGTGAACAGTGAACGGGTGAAGAATTGGAGATAGGTAGTTCAAACAATTCAAACTAATTATGACGAGCAAATAAATTGACATATCAAAGAACAGCTAACAATACCCAGATTTTACTTCATGTGGGGAAGATTTCATCGCCGAAGATTTCATCGCCGAAGTTTGTAGACAAAGTGCAAATATGTGCCTTTTGTTGCAGTCTTCTGCCTCATACAAAATCACAAGATTAGCACGGAGAACTGCTTCTCCTTCCACTACTGGTCGGCTTTTTCCATCTAAATAGAGCAAAATATCTGCCGAAAGAACATCTACAATAGGCGTTTTCGATCGAATATTGACAATTAATGTCAAGAAATGTAAAAACTTATCACTATCAGTACACAGTACACAAGCTAATGGCACTAATTGGATTGAGTAAGGATTGAGTTTGTTTCCCCTAGTTTTGACGTGGCTTTGACATGGAACGATGAAAACCGCGAGCGCCACCTGGTAACATTGATTCCCGCGAATTCTTCCTTCTTTTCACTAAGTATGGATAATCTCAAGAAAATCATATTTCTAGTTCACTCATATAATAAAAAGAAAATGTGTCATACATTGTGATATATATAAATTGTCCAATGATGAGAAAAGTAGGGCAAATTGTTCTGGATGCCATCCAGATGACAGGCGAAAAAGAAGGTGAAATTTTTGACTATAGTCAAATATCTTGATAAATAATGGTTTGTTCACATTGTCATTATCAAATTCGTGTTTTTCAGACAAAAATACTTGAGCACCAAAAAAATTTTCGAGAAAAAAACATCGCATGAAAAATGCAGTTTTACCAAATATGTTATGTGAAAAATGTGCCACCGGCAGAATTCTATTGGGGTTCAAGGTCAGAGTCAGAAGCCTTCGAATTAGAAATTCGATTACTTCCAGGGTGACAAAAAATCCATTTCAGTGTATACCCGGAAGGACGCCAAGAAACTCAGACAAAATCCTGTAGAGTAAAAATGCGCCGCAGGCGATAATTTCGTTGAGATTCAAGGTCGAATATCTCAACATTGAAAATGTGATTTCTTTCAGACTGAGAACAACTCCATCATATTATAATATTATGAATTATTCAGTCAACTGTTCTCAGTTTGTTGCAATTGATATGAAATGATCTGCAAATAGCAACAATGAGAGGACCAAGAAATTAGTAAGGTGTTTGTTTTACTAGGTAGCAAAGTACTAAGTAGTAGATGGACTGCCGCGGCTGATAGTTCATAGCCGAGCGTAGCGAGGCTTGGAATTCTGCCAAGGCATTCAATAATATACGTTTGCTGCACTGTGAAACATCAGTTTTTCTCCTAAAATATTATGAAGCCAATTTTGTGTGATCTTTTTATTGAAAATTCCATAATTTTGTGTTTACCTAATGTCAGTGTCAATTTCATTCAAATTATTTGCACAGCAACAAACTTTTTCCTGACTAGGCAGAAAAAGTACACACCTTTCCAATCTTGTCAGAGAAAAGCCACTTTCTATGCCGCTTGGAGAAGGAAGTATTTCAGATGATCTTTGCAGGTTACCTGAGCAGATGGATTTTCCCTAAATTTTTTGGGAGCAAGGGATACTGAGTAATTTTTTCATTCAACGGGAAACAAGTTAATCATCAGTCTCTTGTAGTTTTTACATTTTAGGATAATTTGCTTCCTTATTCATGATACCTGGCTCCCATTATACTGAATGATGTTCCAACAATTTTGACTGATACAATATTGATCATGTATATAATGTGGTAACAGGAAGAATCGTGGATTACAGTTTTTGTAGAAAATCAGGAGGGGGGGGAGCAATTGGCACCCCAGCCCCCCCTAAATGACGCCCATGGAAGAAAGTAAAAAATAACATTGTTCCTCCAGGCTCATTAGTACAGAAACAATGGAGGCTCACATATTTCATTATTTTATTTTTTATATTTATTATTAATACACCAAGGTAGTCCCAGAGACCAAGATTATATCCCGACTCCCGAGGCTTCAGCCAAGGGGTATAAGATCCCGTGGTAATAATATTCTTTTGATACCAAGGAGTATATTGAATTTTTTTCACCACTAGCAATATATTCCAATCATTATAGTTCTCTGAAACTGAAATGTGGACCCATGTTACTATGAAAGCACTTCTTTTCAATTCTAATTAAAATCTAGTCACCATGACAGCTTTTCATTGATAAATATACCTACAAAAGTTGTTTTTTTAAATTTTATTTTCCAACACAAAAAATGCTAAATTAGAGAGAACAAGGTAGCAATAGACGATCAATCTTTTTTGCCCCGGGCAACTCACTGACATGAGCTGGATTCAAGGTTTACTCCTCTAGGGGTCAGCTCCCTCATGACTGCCATCAGGGTTGACAGAAATCATCGGCAAGGCGCAAGGCATGCATAGACTGCCTCTGAGGGCTCCCTTGGAGGGTAATTCTGTGGCGTATCTAAGTGTTCTACATTGTATGTTTTACATTTTTATCATGTCCAATGCCCCCTCTAGAAGATTTTTGTTTATACACCTTGTATTGTAAAAATGTTTTTATTGAATAAATGGAATTGAAACTACTATAGATTCGAGTGCCAATCCTGTGAATATCGCATCAGAACAGTGAATTCGGGTTAATTATATCAGAGGTGGCTATGTCTTTATTGACTAGTGGTTCATAATATGATGAAAACTACCTTATTGGTAGTAAAAACACACATTACACCTTCAAAAGGAGTAAATAGTAGTAGGTTCCATTGCTAGTGATGGAAAAAAAATTTTATTTCCAGCAACAATGCAAGAATGAATAGCTATTATCGGTAACACTTTTCGAATATTGTTTAGATGTATTTACACTTTTTTTATTGATTCTTTGTCAAAAGTATACTTTTATATAGGTAGTATTTTTTTATCGACAATAATTCTATTTTCTTGGGAATAAAATTGATACCTATCGACATATTATGAAATCAATCCCCAGTCGGTGCTCATAGATTAAAGTGCTACTCCTAAAATTGGCGCATGATGGAGTTCGTAACAAAATCAGCACAGAATTCTTATGGTATAAAAGAACTGAGATCGAAGTGCCAGTCCTTTTGTTGCGTATGGAGTTGATGAAAAACCAAAACAGGATAATTATAGCTGAATAACCTTTATAGATTGACACGCTGCATCCAGGCCAAACATGTGTTGTTTTTGTTGAAGGTCAAATACCTTCATATTGTAAGTTGGTTTTACCACAGATTGTTTTACGTACTTGATAATATACAGGGTGGTCCGGTTTGTAAACAAAAATTCAACAGTGTGTTTTACTCGTACTGGAATACTTTATGATATAATTTTTATTTCATCTTAAAAAGCGTGAAAAGTTTAGTATCTGTGAGAAATTATGTTGATTTATCTCAAATGGTTTCGAACTCTTCATTAAAATTTCAATCTTCAGACTCTTATTTTCAACACCCTATATCTCGAAAATGACGCGTTTAAAAGTATATTTTCTATTATTTCAAAGAGTACAACACACTGTTGAAATTTTCGTATTACAAACCGGATCACATTGTATAATGTCGATATAAATGAATTATTCCATTGTAATATCAGGAAGTTATACATATATGCATACTTATTTAGGATTTAATACTGTCAGTAGTTTTGGGATTTTTTCTCTATGCCTCCATAATTTGAAATTCGAGTTGTATTTCGAAGAACCTGTGAAGGACTAATTGAATGATTCACTCCAAAATGTCATTGCTTGAAATTTCACTATAGTGGGAACCTAAGACATTATTATTCAATCGATGATTAGTGAAATCTCATTTGAAAAATGTTTGATGAAGAAGAATTGGTATGTTGGAAAATATATAATTTATATTCCACGATATAATTGAAGATCGGTGAAAACATTATCATGAAAATGTTTCTACAGATTTTAAGTTCTAACCTCGAAAATTCAAAATCTTAATCATCCCCTGATATGATTGCAAATTCATCAAAATGTTCGAGATCTGATCTTGAGAAATATTTGTTTCTGTACTGTGGCCTTCAGAAACTCATCCAAAATTGAAAACTCGAGTAAAAAATAAATATAGCCAACGGTCTTTTTTTTACAGATAAATGAAGTTCGACAACTATTGATCGATCCATCAATGTTCCTCAGTAAACGTTATACCTATACCTAGATATAGTATTCTGGATCTCATATTATATTTCTATATT